GCATTCATGACCCCTTCATCCAGGATGCGTAAGGCTGAGCAGGCGAGAGTCAGGTGCATGACACCCTGAACTCCCAGGGAAGGAATTCGCTGAGGGGCAATCTGCCCAAATTGCTTCATGAAGTTTACGTGATCCACGTGAGTGAAACGGAACATTTTAAGAATATTCACTAAGGCATAACTACTTAGGTGCTGCATGTCAGCACACACCAGATCTCCAATTTTCCGCATGACAAATTCAGAGAGATTACTACTTGATTTAAAGAACCCCAAACAGATTGTACCAGCCTCCTCTAAATTGATCAAATCTATATACTTGAGGATCAACGATTCCAGTTTTTGCATTAGGTCCTGGGGTACCTGACGACTTTCGCCTATAATATAAATCAAGTGAATCAGCTGGGACAAAGATAGATCTTTCCAGTGCAAATTAAGATAACTAAAGAATATTTTAAAAAACCGAGGTACTCTGCGGCCCAAGTACCTCCAGAGATCAGCCACCAAGAGAAGTTGATCCAGACTCATCTCCCACACCTTATGGCAAAATCTGGTTTCATACACATCTAGCATTGAATGAGAATGAGGGATTCCTAAACTGACAAAGGCTTTCAAAATACTGATCAGATCTGGGGCATCAAAGAGCTGTATGTTTTTCACACTCAGCTGGCAGAGCAAAGCAAAGCGGGTACTGGACAGCAAAACGGGATGCTGCTCTGCAGGCATACAGCTCAGCTTACGCAAGTAATCGGCAATGGTTTGAGGCTGGAGATTATCTTGATAAACTGTGACTTTGTGCAAAATTAGTTCACCTTCTGAAACAGACAGGGGCTGGTAAGGCTCAGATCTGTTATAGCTGTGAAACTGGTACTCTGGTCTTAGCTGTAGGAAAACTCGGGGGTCTTCAAAGGAATCAAAAACTTCTACATCCTCTTCATCAATTTTCATGGCCCTGGATGAGCCTGGCTTCAGTGTGCTGGCCTTCAAGGCAGAAGCCCTGCTGAATTCCAAACCCGGGAGGGCACTGCTGGTTGTCAGGATCCTACGAGGAGAGGAGGTGTTACAAGTATTCTCAACTTTTTTGGAAGGATGGCAGAGGCTACTGTGCTCTGGAGGGTCCTGTCCCTTGTGCCGTGTGCAGCTTCCCACATTCCAATATGCCATACTTTGGGTTGCACTGCAGGATAAAGGACTGCAAAACGCTCGGTATCCTAAAGGTTTTAACAACTTCAGAGTGGCTGCCATTCTGGTGTCAGTACTGATCGTTTTGGCTGTCAGAACACAGTCCTCACAGGTTTGACCAGGCAATTTCTTGTTTATATGGTGCTTGATTAGAGCTGGATGGAGAAGCGTTCCACAGAAACTGCCTGGAAATCTTCAGCATACCACAAGGGCCATGGATCACAAATGACTGGGCCAGAATTGGTGCCAGATACTGAAAAAAGGGTAGATGAAGAATAAGTGGCTTCCACCCATCACAATACCAAAATTTACACATTATAAGAACTGAATAAAAACTCTGCTGTCCACTTAAGTTCAACGTTAGTGAATGCCCAAACCACAAGACAGCATATATCAATGATACTCTGTGTGCCTTGCATAAAGACACAAGGAAACATCAAAACCAGGGTACTACTGGGCAGTTCTCCAGACTGCTGCTCAGTTCAGACTTCCTTCTGAACTTCCTCTGTCCTCTGGACAGACTTCCTTTATGGTAGAAGGAAAGCAGTGATGGTTAGAGAAGAGACGGTTGCTGTTAACTTCCAAGAGGAAGGAAGAAGGCAGATTTCCAAAAAGGAAGCTGGGAACAAAAGTGAGCAACCTATTCCATCTCTCTGATATCAACACATAAAGGGCCCACTTGGAGAATAAGTTGGTAAAAGCTACCAAAGTAAAAAGTGGAATTTGGTGTGAAGTTTAATTAACTATAGCCACAATAACCCTCCCTATTCCCAAAGTACAAAACTTTTGCTCACAGAATTCTGTTGTTCTAATACTGTTCCTATGCCTTTTAGAAGATGCCTATTCTCCTCTCCAGGAAGCTTATAACAGAGTTTGAATCACTATTGCAGAGTAGTCATGCAATTGGGAAGTACCGTATTTCCCCATGTATAAGACGTACCCTTTTTTGAAAAATTTGGGGTCTAAAAACTGGGTGCGTCTTATACAGTGGTTGTAGATTTCAAATGCCATAGATGGAACTGAGGACGAGGCAATATATGAAGAAGTGATTCGTCATCAGACACAGATGAGGACAAGCTAATGGTTGGGAGTTTTGACAGTGATGAGGAGTTGCANAGGTTGAACTGTTCTTTAGCATCTTAGCTGTGGAGGGCAGTGTCACTGGCCCTCATATGTGGGATCCGAACCGGGACCCTCTGGCATCCCAAGCCAGTTCTTAACCATCGTGCCACTCGGCTGGCCCGGGAAGGATCCTTTTTAAAAGAAATTCTCACAGACTCCAAGTATTTACAAATGTTACCTGTATTAAGTTACCAACATATATATATATACAATCTCCTCATGCCTGTGGCTCAAATACAACCAAACCTAAGTCTATTAAACCTCCTGTTATGGGCCATAGTAAGTTTCCTTCTCATCTGAGCTACTTGCCATGAAAAACATTTAACTTGGTCATATTTAAGAACCACTGGTCAAATAGGCACTCATATAATTTTATTCTAGATTCAGTTTTAGAGAGAAAATATCCTGGGCATGAGGTGCGGTAGGCTGGGGTAGTTTATGCAAAAGTAGAAATGGAGAAGGGGCTAAGAGGAAGACATTAGGCTCACTAACTCTGAAATGGCCTTTTAAAGCAGAAAGAGTCAGCAACTAAGGACAACCAAACAAAACTAAACAAGAATAAGGATTTTAATTTCAGAGGGTGTGAAGAAAACATGCATGGGGAAGGGAGAATCCTGAAATGTGAGAGAAGTTGTAAAAGACTCTCATTTTATACCAAAGCATACGAAAACCAGTTTTTAAAAATTGGCTTGAGACAATGTCTGACAATACTTTTATCCTAAAAATTCAAAATAACCATGAGATAAGGGTGGTGAACAGAGGGGGAAAAAAATGCAATAGGAATTACTTGAAAATCGGACGTTTTAAGGCATTTATTTAACTGCACAAATAAGCAACTTGTACAACTGGACAGGTTACAATTAATTCATAATAACAGACACTAGCTTCAATCTGCCATAGACAAGAATACCAGTAAGTCTCCTCAACAGATGATTTTATTACAAACCTACATTCTGCCTTTTATAACTGTTTCACAACACCTGGCACAGTGCACATCGACAGCATTTATGAGTAAAAATGCCCTGAAGGCCCGTCAGAGATCAGGGGTGAACAATTTCTCATGGAGGAATGCCAGCTTTTCTAAGCGAGTTCGTTTCAGTAGTGGGAGCCATTCCCAGTGGGATAACTCTACCACACGGTACCCAAGCCGATTCAGCTGCCGCCTCTTCATATTGTGCAGTCCAAGCAGATTCCTGGAACCATAGCAATACTGGTTCTTATTTGTCAACTGAATAGCCAACTTCACTTGTGGGGCCTGCGTGCAGGTTGGGAGGCACAGGCCAGCCATCTCCATGGCCCCCAATCTGTCCGCCACATTGTAAGGAGAGCACTCCAAGGGTACGGCTGCCTTCTTCTCTAGTTCCATGGGCTGCTGCCCCGTTCCTGACTCAGTTTCCCCCTGGAAACGCCCTCCTGATTTCCCCTTTAGTAGCTGATTTATCAAATCATCTGTAAGGCTGACTCCCACATGCTTAAGCCTTAATTTGGCTATATCTTCACTGGGT